GTTTTGAGTTTCTAGAACTGTTCTGAATCAATCATTTATACAGTGCACAACACTAGTGCCATATAATACAACAGAGGGTATTCTCAGTGTGAAGTTCAGACCATCCTCTATACAAGGACTGTTCAGTGGTCATTCCAAATAATACAGTTGTGGACAGATGCATCTGCAACAGATTGAAGAATAGGTCGAGATAGTAGGAACTGCAGATGCTGGAGAATCCGAGACAACAAGGTGCAGGGCTGGATGAACACAGCAGGCCAAGCAGCATCATAGGAGCAGAAAGGCTGACGTTTTGGGCGTAGACCGATCATTCTGATGAAGGGTCTAAGCCCGAAACATCAGCCTCTCTGCTCCTATGATGCTGCTTGGCCTGCTGTGTTCATCCAGCCCTGCACCTTGTTGTCTCGAAGAATAGGTCGAGTTGTTTTTTTTCCTTTTGCTGGTTCCCTCACCACTTGCTGCAGGCCCAGTCTAGTACACATGTCCTTCAGGATTTGGCCAGCTCCATCAATGAAAGCAGTGAAGTCCTCCCTCAGAGTTCATTCTATTCCTCTGCCATCCTCAGACCTCCTCTAAGTGATGTTCAACACGACGAAGACCGATTCATAAAAGTCAGAGATAGCAGTAGGTGGTAATCAGTAGGAGGTTGCCTTAGCATAAAGGCTTGATGCATTGATACTTCATGGAGCCAGAAGTCAGTGTTGAGAACACCCAGCGACTCCCTGACTGTGTGACATAGTCTCACAAACGATGTTGGCACAGTCTGGCCAGTGGGACCCCCTAACTATGCTTTGACACGTCCGGATAATGAATAAACATTATATGAAAATCATTACTCTTTTTTTCAGGCAACAGAATTGTCAAAACACTGATTGAATCCCATGAGGAAAATCAACATTGTTTGACAAACATCTCTATTGAGACTGTTGGGAGTTGTAACTAGCCTGTATATTTTTTTCAAAATCCAAACAAATACGAAATCCTGCGTCCTGTGGCATAAAGTTTTGGTGATCATAAACAATCTTTGGTCAGCAAGGAACTGGAACCTTTCAACAAAGTACATCTATCTAGAATTGTGCATTCTCAAGTTTGTCAGCTTGGCTACATGGTGTGTGCCATGCAGTGCATCTTCCCATTAATCAGCATGCATCTGAAACTAGGAGACAACACGATCATCTGGGATTTATTCACTAATGAGGCAATAGCACTAAAAAAAAAATTCTTAACTTCCAGCGCCATAAAATTCAGACATCATAAACCAACAAATGATTATAACTGCAAAACAGGCAGAATTCCACCCAGCGCTTCAGTTACCAGTGGGCAACAAACAATTGAAATAGGTTAGATAATCCTGACCTAAATGGCAAATGTTGACGAAGGGGAAAATGCTTTTCTATTTTAGCCATGTCAGTAGGCCATTCATCCACTCAAGGTTGTTCTGCAATGATGGGTGTCTTAATTTCAGTTACTCAGAAGCATATGAAGGAATATGGAATGAAAAGAAATCCATCAATTTCAAAGGTTCCAACTATTCCAGCAATGTTTTCAGTGAGTGAAAAATACAGAAACTTAAGCACAATGCAAAGCTTTGCTGGGGTACAATAGCTATATAACAGACTGTAAATATTACAAATTTCAAAACAGTGAAGTACGAAACAAATTGTGTTCTCTGAGAGGAGTTTCATGGCCATGTTTCTTGTTTGCACAGCTACAAATAGGTCATCCTTCAGAGGACTGGAGATCATTCACAAAAACAAATGCACAAAAGAATCACTGCACAGCTCATTCTATAGTCCAGTTAAACATTCACTAGTTTTGAGTGTTTAACTCTATATTGCAACCTTCAACTCAAAAGCTACAAACAGTGGTCTCCTCCCAAAACATTATAAACATGCGCAGTCTTAACAGTCAAAAAGATTTAATTTGATCACTGCTAATGTCTGAAGAAAAATGAAACTCAAGAACCTCCACCAACATTTTCTCTCCGTTCCAACTGGTGTACCGTTTGCTATTGAATGCATTACTGACTTTTTGAAGTTAGATTGAAGCTGTTTTTTTTTCTTTTGGTCTGTGGAAAGGAATCCATACTGCTCAATATATTCATTCTACAAACAAAAGAAGAATGTACCAAAGCAGTTTCTATAGGTTCATCCCTCTATTTGGACTTGCAAGTGCCATTTACACTGTGGTGAAGTGATGGCCGTCTCATGTTCGCATTCTGCATGAAGTTTTGAACAAATAATTTAGGTTGACACTGAAGAGTGCTAAATTGTTCAAAGAACATCTATGAGTACCTACTGCCTGTTCAGGAAATAAAACACTATAAAGTGCTCCAGGTATTCTGGCATCACTCACCCCTCAGCATTAATATAGTTTAGATTATGTAGTCATTCAACTTGCTTTATATTTGGCTGTACTTAGCACTTATCTTTCTAAGAAGAGATACTAGACTTCAATTTATTAACAAATTGCCTCAATATAGCAAGCACGTGAATGGGACCATATAAATACAAGCTCCTTTGGCCTTTAGTGAATTACTGCAGAATATCAAGACATTCATTTGAAGTCATCTTCAAATTACTGGAAAGTCTGACTATAAAAACTCGACTATTGCATTTGTGGTAAACTGCTGGAACATTATGAGTGGCCGTTACAGATATCAGCATTACTAAATGGCAAAAATGGAGTTCCTTGATTTAATTGCCAGGGTGCTTTAAAAAATATGCAAAGTTGGCAAAAAAAAGTCTGTTGTAATCAAAAAGCCTTCTTTCCCCAACGTAATTCAAACTGCGTGGCAGCAAAGCAACAGTCATTTCTAAGCTAAGATTCCTTACTCTGGACTAAATACATTTGAAAGCATTAATGCACGAAAAAACAATAAAAATGAAAAAACATCCATTAATGGTTGCAATCAGACTAGACACCTTGCACTGGCATTAACTTGCATACTTTCAAATTCCAGTTGGTTCAGTAAAATTTAATGGTTATTAACTGAGCCAATAGACCTAGAAAGTTAGAGGTTTGTCTCCAATTTGATCTAAGCTGGTAATAACAGAGTGATTCAATTTCAACATGCCTCAATTTGGAAAGGGCAGGTGGGAGAAGGAACAGTCCCACAGAATAGTTTTAATTTTCTGATTGTGTCAGAGATGAATTTCCCAGTGTTGTTTTTTAATCCCCTTTCCAGATATTTTTTTCGGTCTCTCCTGGGAGAGTACATTGCTGTGAGAGCAGACAAGCAGCATATAGACATTACATTGCAAGCATCCATGCACTGGGCATGGGGAATAGGTAGGAAAAGACCAGCTTTTCTTTTGTTTTCAAATTGCGTATTTACTGATATCTAGTGATCCCCAAAGGTGAGGATGCTAGCATTTGGTTCCAATATCTCTAATCTACCCTATCAGAAACTAGTGTAGTGACATGACAGTAAGGTATCAGGGAGTAATCAACGCTTGAGCCATACTCCAGCAAGAAGTGAAAAGATTAACAGCTAAATCAAGAAAATGAAACTATGGTTTTTCAATCCAGTCAATAGATGCTTCAAGTCACAGTCCGCTAACTTATTACAATTAATACTTACAGTGAATTGTACAAAACTGCACATAGCTTCACACCACTTAATTTTCTTTCACTTCAGGGCTGAAATATCTGCAGGTATGGGCAGTCATTTCTACCTATTTTTCTAATCAACCCGTTCAAAGATGTTATTAAGCACCTCTACAGTAGGTGGGACTTGAACCCAAGGGTAGGGACACTTCCACCATGTCACAAGAGGGCCTAGCAGTCACTTCCACCTTCACCTGCCATATTGAATGCACTGAACTGGGTATTATGACAATTTACACAGCCTTTTCAAATACTGCATCTGATGTTATTAGCACTCCAGTATAAACATGGAATTCTGCTCTGACATAATTTTCAGCTGCTGAAAGCATCCAACCCACAAAAAGACAGCTAAATAGTTAGTGAACACTTCACAATAATATATTTAAAGCTCATTTTGTTTCCATTTCATAATGTTATTCAATCACTTCTAAATTTATGACAGGGAGGAAGAAATACCCAAGTATTCAAAGCAACTGTTTAGCACAGATTATTGACATACTCTCCCTTCAGCACTGCCTGCTAATGGTTTGTATTTTACATGGATTGTGATTTTGCTTTCTGCATCAGTCACTAACATTTCAATTGTCTGTTTTGCAGATCAACCAGTGCAGCACAATAATTAGTTACAGATCTAAAATTATAATGCAAAACTCCAGAAAATATCTTGCAGCAAAAACATTCGAACCATAGTTACGCTCCAAATGTTTTAAACATTGATCTTCTACATGATGAACACAACTGCATATGTGCAGTGATCAGTTTTACTGAGTGCCCATTGGTTTCACGCTGAAAGATTATCTTTAAAGTTAACACTACCAGACTGTGGATATTCCAAGCTGACGCTTAGCCCGTCATCAATTTCAATCTGTGTTGCCCTAATTCAACAGGCTCCCCATCGAAAAACCATGCTTCTGAGAAAGCATTACTGGACCCGTAGTTGAGACAAGACAGTTACGTTTTTAAAATGTTTGAATCCAAATGCACGCAGATAAATTCCAACACAATATGATACTTTCACTGTTCCAATTTCTCTTAACTCATCTTTATCACTTCAGTTAATGTACATCTCTTACCCTACCTTAACTATGTCGGCTTTTCCCCAACTTTTCCTCGAGCCCCAACCCGTGTCCCTCATTCCCTCCCCTGCATCCACTACTGCTCTAACCCATTCCTCTGCCAGGTTTACCATACCCTGCCAGCGTTGCCTCCGTAGCTCAAACCCATGCCACGCATTGCGCCCTCCCAGCCACGGCTCCGCTGTAGCTGCCGCCAGCCCTTTTCCCATGCCCGTGCCGACCCCTGCTGCCCGTTGCCAGCTTCAGCGGGAGCAGCAAGCCCTCCCCACACCCCCACGGTTCGCCAGCCTTGCCCGGACGGCGCTCGCTTTGTACCTGGGTATGCAGCTGGGCGATGAGCCATCTATCTCCCAGGTGGCGAAGAGGTTCATCGGGACGGGCTTGTTGAGACCGGACGAGCCGGTAAAGCTGAGTCTCCCCTTCTCGGCCATGCTGAATGTGTCAGTGCCCGGTGTGCATTGCTGTATAAGTACCACTATTTGAAACCCTCTCTCTCACACACACACAGAAACACAGCCACCGCTCGGGCTGCTCCACTGCGGCACTGGGACAGCCCACCGGAAAGCGCGTCACGGGCCGGGCACGCGCGGCCGGCGCTGACGTCGCCTCGTGCACAACCGTCGCCTTGATTCGAAGTCGCTGAGCGGCTCGAGCTCCTGTTCCTCAACCGCAATCCTCTCACCACCATCTCCCCCCCCCCCCGCAACCTCCATCTATAACCGTTTACTGCATTGCAACTGCCACCTTCCCTTCCCCCCTTGGGAATCCATCGATACCAGTCGGTGATCACTCTCTCACCCCTGAGACCTCAATCGTGGCAGTAAAAGGTAGGAACCTTCAGGTACTTAGAGGAGCACTCAAAACATTCACTGCCCCTCCAATTACGCTGCTGAGTTTCTCCAGTAATTCTCCGTTCTCGTCTGCTTCTAGCCTCCAACCGCCCACTGTTGTTCGTTTTCTTATTATCGTGCGGGTTGGTAGGAGGCAGCCCAGTCCCTACCTCAGCCAGAAAGCACAAGCGTTCAAGTGCCAAGAGGTGTGTCAAATCACATCCGGCCCAATATCTGCAAGCCAAGAGCTGGAAAAGTGGGATTGGAATAGATAGGGATAACACAGTGTGGAGCTGGAGGAACTTTGCAGGCCAGGCAACGTCAACTTCCCTGCTCCTCTGATGCTGCCTGGCCTGTTGTGTTCCTCCAGCTCCACACTGTGTTATCTCTGACTCCAGTATCCACGGCTCTTGCTATCCCTGTTGGAATAGACAGGGTTCTGGTTAATCCAAGATGGGGGACGGAGAAAACGTGGCTGTAAGTGCTGTCCTTTTTTTAGGTGTTTTCAGTGCTGGAGATGATTTCTTCAAATTCTAGGAGCAGTAATTACTGTTTTATAAGCTGTTGCATTGTTTTGGAACCTCGCGGGGGTGGGGGGAGATCAAAACAACGGCACTTTAAAAAGGAGAAAGACAGACAGAGACAGTCACCGCATGAGAAGTGAATCAAATGGAGAAATAAACCTGCACTGCTGTCTGACCCAGCAGTGAATCTGTACAGCTGACTGTTTTGCTGTTTGATTTCAAGTATCTCTGGACATTGGCGTCATCCAAGAAAAATTAACAAACAGTGACATTTAGAGCTGACTTTGGGGAAACCTGAGTGGGAGAGTTCACAGCAGGGGAGCAGTCAAGTGAGCTTTTCAAGGTGTAACCATACTTTTTTTGTAAATTCACAGTAGTGATAAAGTAGGTTCCTTTTCCATTATATGTTTTATTGAGATGTGTCCTTGATTAAACTTTAAAAATATAAAACATAGGTGCTAAGTTAGCCTGGAGCAGTGTTTTTTTAGAGCAGTAGAACTGTGCTATTTTCTGGTTCTGCAGATAGTTAAGGTGCAAAGATGGCCTTTAGTAAAGATATCCTTCCTGTTGGATGTGGAAGATTAGGGAGAGTTTCCATGTTACTTATGATTATGTCTGCAAGAAGTGTGTTTGGTTGTGAATCCTATAGATCACATGCACCAGTTGGAGTGGCTGTTAGAGGCAATGAGGAATTTACAGTAACTAGGGGTTTGACGGATGGCAGTTGTAGGATGGGAGATAAACCATAGATACAATCCGGGAGCTGGTTACCTCCAGGAAAGGTAGGAGAGGGAGGCAGGTAATATAGGAGTCTCCTGTGGCTATCCCCATCTCAAACAAGTATGCTATTTTGGAAAATGTAGGGGATGATGGACTGTCAGGGGAATGTAGCTAGGTTTCTGGCACCAAGACTGGCTCTAATGTAACAACGGGTATGCCTGGTTCCAAGCAGTCGATTGTGATCAGGACTGTCAAGTCAGAGGTACAGACAGACGTTTTTGTGGCCAAGAGCGAAACATCAGAATTTTGTGTTGCCTTCCTAGTGCCAGGATCAAGGATGTCTCAAAGAGGGTGGGGGAGGCAATGGCCTGGTGGTATTATCGCTGGACTGTTAATCCACAGACCCAGACAAGTTTGAATACCCCCATGGCAGATGGTGGAATTTGAATTCAATAAAATGTCTGGAATTAACAATCTAACGATGACCACGAATCCATTGTTGATTGTTGGAAAAACCCATCCGGTTCACTAATGTCCTTTAGGGAAGGAAACTGCCATCCTTACCTGGTCTGGCGTACGTGTGACTCCAGACCCACAGCAATGTGGTTGACTCTTAACTGCCCTCAGGGCAATTAGGGATGGGCAATAAATGCTGCCTAGCCAGCGAAGCCCTCATCCCGTGAATGAATAAAAAAAAAATTCTCAAAGACAAGAGGGACCAGCAGGAGGTTGTTGTACACATTGGAACTAATGACGTAGGAAATGAAAAGGATGAGATTTTGAGGAGAGAATAAAGGAAGTTAGGCAGGAATTTAAAAAGGAGGGTAGTAATATCTGGATTATCAGTGAGGGTAGGAATAGGAGGCTAGAGCAGATAATTGCATGGCTGAGGAGCTGGTCCAGGGAGAGAAGATTCACATTTTTGGATCATTGGAATCTCTTCTGGGGTAGAAGAGACCTGTATAAGAAGGACAGATTGCACCTGAATTGAAAGGGGACCAGTATACTTGCGGGGAGATTTGCTGGAGCTGCTCGGGAGGATTTTACTAGTAAAGGTAGGTGGGACACGGAGATAGTGAGGAAAGATCAGTCTGAGATTGGTACAGTTGGGAAAAGGAGCAAGTCAAACAGTCAGGAACAAAACAGAGAACAAGGTAGGATTGATGAATTAAACTGCATTTATTTCATTGCAGCAGGCCTAACAAGTAAGGCAGTTGAACTCCGGGCATGGTTGGGAACATGGGACTAGGATATCGTAGCAATTACAGAGACGTCACTCAGCAATGGACAGAACTGGCAGCTTAATGTTCCAAGCTTTAGATGCTATAGGAAGGATGGAAAGGGTTCAAGAAAGGAGATGGAGTGGTATTTTTGATTTGGGATAACATTACAGCTGTACTTAGGGAGGATATTCCTGGGAATATGTCCAGGGAAGTTACTTGGGTGGAACTGAGAAATAAGAAAGGGATGAACACCTTATTTGGATTGTTTTTATAGACCACACAATAGTCAGTGGGAAATTGACAAACAAATTTATAAGGAGATCTCAGTTATCTGTAAGAATAATAGGGTGGTTATAATAGGGGATTTTAACTTTACAGACATAGACTGGGATTGCCATAGTGTTAAGAACTTGGATGGAGAAGAATTTCTGAAGTGTGTATCAGAAAATTTTCTGATTCAGTATGTGGATGTACCTACTCTTGGGAAATCAGGCAGGGCAGGTGACTGAGGTATGAGTGGGGGAGCACTTTGGGGCCAGTGACCATAATTGTACTAGTTTTAAAATAATGATGGAAAAGGATAGACTGGATCTAAAAGGTAAAGTTCTAAATTGGAGGAAGACCAATTTAGAAGGTGTTAGGCAAGAACTCTCAAAAGTTGTTGGGGGCGGATGTTTGCAGATAGAGGGATGGCTGGGAAATAGCAAACGTTCAAAAATGAGATAACGAGTTCAGAGACAGTATAGCCATGTTAGGCTGAAGGGCAAGGCTGGTTGATAAAGGAAATGCTGGAGGAGTTGAGGTTTTGGTCAAGAAAAAGAAGGAAGCAAATGTCAGGTATAAAGAGCAGAGATTGAGTGAATCCCTGGAAGAGTATACAGACAGTAGGAGAATACGTAAAAGGGGAAACAGGAGGGCAAAAAAGGGGACATGAGATAGCTTTGGGAAATAGGAAGATCCACAGGGATTCTACAAGTACGTTAAGTACAAAAGGGTAACTAGGGGGTGAATAAGGCCTCTTAAAGATCAGCGATGGCCACCTCTGTGTGGAACCGCAGTAGATGAGGAAGATACTTAACGAGTATTTTACATCAGTGTTTATTGATGCAAAGGATATGGAAGATAGAGAAATTGGGGAAATAAATAGCAATATTTTGAAAAATAGCCATATTACAAAGGAGGAGGTGCTGGATGACTTAAAACACACAAAGGTAGATAAATCCCTGAGACCTGATGAGGTGTACCCTAGAACTCTATGGGAAGCTAGAGAAGTGATTACTGGGCCCCATGCTGAGGTACCTGTATCATCAATAGCCACAAGTGAGGTGCCGGAAGACAGGAGGTAGGCCAACGTGTTGCCATTATTTAAGAGAGATGGTAAGCACAAGCCAGAGAACTATAGACCGGTGAGCTTGACATCAGTGGTGGGCAAGTTATTGTGGAGGGAATCCTGAGGGATAGAATTTGTGTGTTTGGAAACGCAAGGACTGATAAAGGAGAGTCAACATGGCTTTGTGCATGGGAAATCGTGTCTCACTGACTTGAGTTTTTTGAAGATGTAATGAAGAGGATTGATGAGGGCAGAGCAGTGGACCTGATCCATATGGACTCCAGTAAGGCATTCGACAGGGTTCCTTGTGATAGGCTGGTTAGCAAGGTTAGATCCCATGGAATACAGGGAGAACTAGCCATTTGGATACAGAATTGGCTCAAAGACAGAAGGTGGTGGTGAAGGGTTGCTTTTCGTCATTTATATGAAGGATTTGGATGTGATCATAGGAGGTATGGTTAGCAAATTTCGTGGTGTAGTGGATAACGAAGAAGGTTATCTCAGAGTACAATGGGATCTTAATCAGATGGACCAATGGGCTGAGGAGAGGCAGATGGAGTTTAAATTAAATAAAGGTGAAGTGCTGCATTTTGGAAATGCATATCAGGGAAGGACTTATACACTTAATGGTAAAGTCCTGGGGAGTGTTGCTGAGCAAAAAGACCTTGAAGTGCAGGTTCATAGTTCCTTGAAAGTGGAATTGCAGGTACACAGGTTAGTGAAGAATGCATTTGGTATGCTTTCTTTGACTGATCAGTGCATTGAGTATAGAAGTTGGAAGGTCATGTAGCGGCTATGCAGAATATTGGTTAGGCCACTTTTAGAATACTGCGCTCAATTCTGGTCTCCCTGCTATAGGAAGGATGTTGTGAAACTTGAAACAGTTCAGAAAAGATTGACAAGGATGTTGCTAGGGTTGGAGTGTTTGAGCTATAGGAGAGGCTGAATAGCCTTGGGGCTATTTTAACTGGAATGTCGGAGCCTGAGGGGTGACCTAATAGAGGTTT